GGCAGAGCCGCCTATATCTTAATCTATGGGTTTTTCTAAATTGAAAAGTAAATTCTAATTAGAATGCATGTCTACTGGTAGTCCCGCCACGTAGTGACCTCTTGTTAAGGTGAAGCCACACAAATTGTGTGGACCATTCTATTATACCAGGGTACGTGTATTTTCGTTACACTCCACCCCCAAAACTGTGAATATCCACAAATCTTATTTTACTAACGCCTTGTACGAGGCTCGCGTGTCTAAGTCTAAGACACCTTTACGTCCCAGGACCTTTTTTACGCATTCACTACTCAATAAGATCTGTGTCTATGACAACACCAGCCTCGCTGGTTCCGAGAGCGCCCGCGGGCAGAGCCCTTCTTCGTCTCCTGTACGCGGTGCAACTCTGGATAGTACGTCCGCGGCTTCACGGGAAACACATCCCAAGCCCTCGGCAACCGGGCACCGCACACTGCGCCCGCCACGGGCGACAAATTTCCTCGTCGTGGATTTGGAGGAAGTCGATTACAAGTCGAATTTTCCTTTCCCATGATGGGAAGAAGAGGAGAGTGAGGTGCGCCTATGGCGCGACATTAGCCCTGCTCGAACCTTGCCGGCACCGTACCCGTTTCCAGACCTCTCGACTTCCGAAGGAAGAAGTATCATTACCAATTGCCTCGACGAGGCATAGGAGCAGCAATTGGAGGCTGCTCACGGGGTGGCTCTCATATGCTCGCATCCACGGTCGATCCTAGACCTTCGTGTGGAATACGGCTTTCGCTCAGCGGATCCCGCTTCTGAAGCGAAAGACGCGATCACTCGATTGTTCCTATCAACAAAGAGGTCGCAAGCTTGTGAAGCTCGAAGCTTTTCCCTCGCTTTATCGGCCCGTTCCGATTAGTATTGAAACACTATCCAATTTCGATGGTGTCGAAGATCTCATGTGGAGCAAGCGCGTAGGTCGTCGCTCTGAAAGCTGGACAAGGTGTGACGAAGAGTAGAAGAAGAATATGAAAAAAATTTAAAGAAAAGCCGTAAGAAAGATGGCTGAAATTGAGAATATTCCGAAGAAAGTCCGACGAAACGTCTGAAAAAAAAGTTTGAAGAAAGATGGAAGAGTTTGACAAACGCCCGTAGAATAGTTTGAAGAAAAGTCCGACGACGAATTTAGAAAAGAGTTGAAGGAATCCTTAAAAATTTGGGTAAACCCACTTTTGCGAGGGTTGGTGCAATTAATCATGTCCTGTTACACATGTTTGGAAGACCACATATACCTTTTGTTTCTCACATCAACTGTACACCCTGAATAGCTGTATATCCATTTTTCATTCTATTGTACCCAAACTGGAAGTACTTATCAGGTAAGGGAGGTAAAAAGCCTATTGCCAAAAATAATACTGTCAACGGCTAGCTAGAATCGAGAAACAAACTGTAAGGCGTCTCAATCGACCTCAGCCTTCCCTAGAAAGTGTGTGTGCACAGACGGGCAATTTTTGTTACATCTGTTGTATACGTGAGATGCCAACCACTTGTCGATAACGAAAGACATATATCATAAAATTAGTAATTCGTATTATGCAATAGCCTTAGTAGCATTATAAAAAATCATTTGTACTCGTAAAGAGGCAGAACTAACCAGACACTAAGTAACGGTGAATGCTATCGATGCCCTCCTGATGGAAGCGCGCAAACCTTACCCTCTGCGCATTTGTAATTGCGGACTCTAAGAAGTTTCTATTGTGGAAAGTGATTTGCAACCTCGTCACAGCCTTTTGAATACGCGGCAGTCCATTACAACATATGTTAGACCATCGTTTGGGTGTCGTAAAAGTGCATTAGCTACCACATTAAGCTGGACCAGATTATAGCTGCGCCAAAAATCTACTAGGTAAAGAAGGAGATCATTGTGCTATTCCCCACAAGAGATGTGGTAATGACTTCGCCGTGCACAAAACCCTTCTAATTTGTAAAGATCGTGATTGGTTTAAAGTCAACCAGGTGATCTTTGGGATTGACAAGATGATTTTTTAAACCAAACTAGATCGTTCTTATGACGGCGTTGAATTTGACACCTGCTTCGAATGAGCCACAACCCATGACAACGTTAAAGCATAACAGACAAGATAGAATCGGCTAGAAAGAGCCGGAATAGGCACTCGTGTGGCTTTCACTCACAGCCTGTCATTTTTACGCGATTTACGCAGTCCAGCGGTATCTGTCATCCTACATTCGTGAGGGTCTTCTTATGGCGAATAAGCTTGCACTAAACTTGCGCATGAAGTTAGTAATTTCAGGCCAATCAGTCAAATCACTTTGATATAGCACCACTGGCCAATCCAGAATGGCCTTAATACTTGCGGGATTTGTTTGCTCACAGTGCTACAGCTCCCCGAAACATGAGCACTCAAGCAATGCCCCCAAGTGGCTGATTTGAATGTCCAAATTTGACTTTGCATTCTCTTCACGACTATGGACGAATACGTCGTCGAAATAGAGCTCTACATAGACCCAAACAGCGACGTCATATGACATTTGAATGTCGCTGATGCATTAGACAGCTGTTGGAGTTACCAGCCATTCCCACCATCCCCGAAAATGAGATGTCTCTGATGACAATTTCATACTATCTATTGAATAGGTCAAAAGCCTTAAATGAGATGCAACCAGCGGTGCTTTTGTGCAGCATGTCCTTCATAAATCTCAGTGCAACCACAGCAAAACTGGCCGCATCAGCTTATAAATCGCATGTAGAAGTCGCCACTAGCCACCAAACTTGCTGACAAAGAGAGTCAGCAACGGATTGGAGATTTACCCTCTTGGCCTTACTGTACTCGAAATAGACGCCTATGACGTCAATAAAGGGTTATAACGTGTGACATAACTGTAATCATCTGAAGACAAATTTATCTTGCACTCCTTTGGAGCGAAACGTCTGACAAATTTTTCGTTAACAACCCGTGTATCCCCCTAACAAAGAATAACGAAATCGCGGGATCATCAAACATGACTATCTTGGCTATTTCGCTCGGTGATCTCCGAGTGTAGTTTTATCCCCATCGAAAGTCCAGTGATTTCAGAGTCTTGCAGCAATTTGCAAACGTAAATCTGTTATTCAACCGGAGGAGTAATGTATAGAAACTTACATATCCTTTGACTGCCCCATTCACTCAATTCGCAAGCGGGTTACCGTTTTTGTCATAAACCATTAACCCTTAATTACGTCAGGAGATGGGCGCATCACACGATTGTGCTGACTCGGTTATTGCAACATCATGGCAGGTATATACCATCCGCGATTACGCCCAGGCCCCGTCTTTTCAATCACTTACAGTCGCCTTCTCACCGGCTCCGCTGAAAAGTTGTGGCTTAAAGATGCTCTAACTCAGCTTCACGGATGATGCATCAAAAATCGCAACACAGAGAATTACGATTATACGTCCCTTTAGAACCAATTTTCGGACCCCCTCAAATTAAATGTCTAATCATTGGAAAACGCGACCCACAATCCCTACTTTTCCGTCTCATTTGAAGGCCATGACTCACTGCCATTTTTGCCCTTTTAGCTCCTTCAAAGGCACTTACCATTATTGATGCTAGCTGTTTCGGACAATCCCATGTCCAGATCCGGTTTAGCAGTCACTAAAGCTCAGTAAGGAGAGAAGTGAGTGACATCCAATGACTTCGTCTTCCAGTAAGCTCATTGCTCATCGTGTTCCAGCCATGACATACCTATGATGAGATCAAATCTAAAATCCAGGTCTGAATACAAGCAGCGTTCCACGCTGAAATATGACTTAAACTTTACAAAAAGGTTCAAAAAAGCCTCCGATACACTCTTTAGTGTCGCCGCTGCATGACACACTGGTGCGATATCCGTTCTTGAATCTCAAAATCTCCGCGTGCTGTCAATGGCTGTTCAAAAGTCGCGCGTCGTACGCAATTGCGCAAAGCTCATAAATCTATCAGGACTTTCGACGGCTTGACAATGCTTGAGGCGGTGATGTTGACGGCCAAAGACCTTGGCTTGTGAGCACTGTCTTTTTTGAAAAAGGCGCTCTCCTTAGGGCTGAGTCATTTTGACCTTGATCTGAACGAGATACAATAGAAGCAAGCATATTATAGTAAGAGCTTGCGGCTAACTGGGACTTTATGTTATATCCAAGGGTCAGCTAGTCAAACTTGCTAACAGCCCACCCCTTCATATTGCTAACCGAAAGATATGGAGGCACAGATATTTGTACAGTATCAGAAAACATCTGCAAGTACACAGGTGACGTCCAGCAATTTAGAGATACTCTCCTTTTCATCAGATTTGCTGACATCCATCGCCATTGACAACCGTTCCTTGTGTCTGTTGAAATAGAGATTAGCACTTGTTTGCAATAGAATCTGTACGAACTACGTTGTGCATGCATCCTTGCAGCTATCAAAAGGCTCGATAGATGGCGTTCATGTGTAGCAACATCAGGCCAACGCAACGTTGATTGCCTTGCCACATTTGATCGTGTCCACTTACAAACCGGTTGTCGCGGCACACAAGTAAAGCTCCACATTTATGCACACACCGTATCCTCGAATGGGGAAGCGGAAAACCTCGATTGCGAGATCAAAATGTCTAGATATCCTCAGTGAAGACGGTGCCATCATTGCTTGCGGAAGAGGGTCTTATCAATCGCGGCGATGAGAAGTCTCAAATAATCGACATAGTTTACTAGTTCGTCCCTTCCTTGACAAATTGACGTGAATTTTGGGTACACCTGGCGCGGGATGTGTGTTCTTGTACCTTACACAGCAGCAAATTTGCGCCGTATCAAATACTCATTTTGGGAACACTTCATCCGCTTAGGGAACGTAATTAATACATGTATTGTGTACGTACACTTACTGCGGCACTTTATTTCTTATGTATTAAAAGTATCTGACACCACTGACACGTCATATGTGACTTTGTAGTTACTCCAGCGAGAAAGGGGGCAACCCACTGATCAGTTAGAAGTGCGTTAAAGGTTTTAATCGTCACCATGAATCTGTTCCGTTTGGTGGGCGATATGGCGCACCTTGCCAGTTTTCTGGTGTTGCTGCTGAAACTACTAGCCTCACGTTCTGCCAATGGTGCGTAAATTTGCTCTACCCCTTTATGCCAGCAGACAGCTAATATTCTCATCCTATGGTACAGGCATCTCGGTTAAGTCACAAGAGCTTTTTTTCTTGGTGTTCATAACGCGCTATGTTGATCTTTTCTTTCACTTTGTGAGCTTTTACAACACGATTATGAAGCTTCTCTTTCTGCTTTTCTCGGGAGCTATCGTCTACGTAATTCGCTTTAAGGAACCTTTCCGCAGCACGTACGACAAGTCACACGACGCCTTTTTGCACCTCAAATTTGCTGTTCTACCATGCGCATTGCTGGCGTTGATTTTCAATGAACAATTCGAGGTCACGGAAATTCTGTGGACTTTTTCCATTTACCTCGAGGCTGTCGCCATCATTCCACAGCTTATTCTGCTGCAGCGCCATGGAGAGGTTGAGAACCTTACGAGCAACTATGTCGTGCTTCTTGGAGCCTATCGAGGTTGCTATGTACTCAACTGGATTTATCGTGCTGCTACAGAGACGACCTACCACTTCATCTGGCTCATGTTTATTGCTGGGATTGTGCAGACGGCGCTCTACGTCGACTTTTTCTACTACTATGCCAGCAGGTACGGCTGCCTTCACCGATATCTTGTCAGTGTCATATTCTGATGTTCACATGTGTTTTGATTTTTCGTTTTTAGCAAATATTACGGTAAGAAGATGACGCTGCCCTCTTAACTGCTTTATTACGTAAGACAAGAATTGGCTCTTAGGTTAGAGATAAACCTTTGTTTTGAGCAGATCTGCTGAGTGCAATTTCTGTTTGTCGTTTGAATTCTACGTCAAACGTAAGATATGAATTTTAGGCAGTTCATTGAGTCCTTACTATTCTTAAAATATCAAAGTCAGTACAAGTTTTGCGTTCTGTAGTTGCCTAACCTGTCGAGAAAACAAATTTATCAGATTCCAAGAATGCTAAAGTTACAGTGCTTAGAGACGTGATCCGCCGCCAAGTTTATACGCTCAACGTCTTCCCGACGAATCTTGGCTGTGAATTGTGCAACGCGGGCTGTGATGGTGTAGCTATCTGCCTTATCAGGCGAGACGTATATACACGGAATATTGTCTGCGTCGAGCCGTTGAGCAAGTTCAGCACTGGGCGGGTTCCACCCGGTAAGAATGAGGCCAGACTTGAGGTTCCTACCGTGAGATGTGGATTCTTTTTGATTACCAATGATGGCATCGATTACATCCTGACGGCCGCTATGCTGTTATTACCAACATGCGTGCGTGAGACGGATTCACTTGTAAAATTCTGAACATATCTCACCGTGATAACGAGCTGATTGGGAATAGCTTTAAAAAGATTCTTGTCGTCCACAGGAGCCAGCGCCAGACGTGTGCTATTAAAATAACGTAAACTGGCATTGCTACCTAAAACATAGTTATTGGAGCTGTGTAAATGCCATTGTATGAAACAGGAGGACGTACCAGCAATGAGATCGGACTTTAGCAGCTTAGCGTAGTCTGCCATTGTTGGGCATGACAAATCCCGTAAATCAGGAATGCAGCCAATAAGTGGGACATCCCAACGTTTAAGCGCTCGTGAATAATAATCCTGCAAATTATGCAGCACAAGAGAAGCATTCTTTGGTTATGCTTTCGCTTGCGTACGTGCCATCAGTAATCCGCACCTTTATCATGTCCATTTTACTTGGATTTACCTTATTCAGGACCACGCCACGTAGGCGAACATTATTTTGCTTCAGCATCTCTCGATTCATGGCCAGCTGGTCAAAAGACGAGCCAAGACCGCCAAGAGCAACACAAATCGCATCAATGCCGAGCTCCGCTGCAATATTACGTTCCAAAATAAATCAAAAGGCTCAACTCATTGACATCTTGAGCAGAATCCCGCATTACCTGCAACCTGTGCATTATTGAGCTCACAGATGGACCCTACGCCCGTATGCCCAGTTCCTTCGCAGACAAGAAAGTCGCTCTGTTTGTACAGATTCTTGTGCGCGACAAGAATCGAGTTCATGAGCTGCTTTGATGTTACTTTACCGTCGATAAAGTCACGCGTGAAGCCATTAGGAAAAATGACAGGCGACATGTCCTTGTAAGATTGCACGAGCCCGAAATACTCCTTGAATAGAAATGCGTCCTGCACTCACCAATTCTTAACAGTCAACTTTCAACTGTTCAACATAGATCTTGAAAACTCGTCACACCTTGTCCACGCGCAAATCTCCACCTACTGGCACGTGCTGCTGTCCCACGGGTTTGCAGTACGCCACATGCTTTTTCGTGCCCTCAAATTTTGCCTGTAGAGTCTTGACAAGCCCAAGACTCAGCGTCGTTTTGCCCACATGCTGTCCGGTTGACAGAATAAGTAGGTGCTTGGTCATGGCCATGTCGTGATATACTTGAGCGACGGCGTTTCGAGATTGCATGTCTCAGCCAATCAAGTAGCTTCATTGTTAAATCGGTTCACAGTCCAAAAAAAGTTAGTAGTGATGCGTTGCCTAGTGTGCTCTGTAGACATGGCTTCGTGGACAATTCCAAAGCGAGAGATACATGTGAACTCATGTCTTGATGTGATATCAATGAAGAGCTTCGAATGCCCAATGTGTGGCAAGGAACTCCCACATAATGACGAGCGCCGTCGCATAGAGCACGTGAACCGCTGTCTTGACACAGTCGAAGCATTAGATGAAGGCTATCAGAGCAGTGGACAGAAGCAAGAAGCGTCATCCGCAACACATGTGGGTGACAAAGAAGCAATGATGGACAAGGAAATCGAAACGCAAGCGACTGAAATAGCGCAGGTGGATGAGGTCGACATAAACAGTGAAAGTGAACTCGGGAATGTTTGCAAAATTTGCGGTCTCGATACGTCAGGGATCGATTTAATGTGTCATATTCGCCATGTCAAGCGTTGCGGCAGCAAATTTGGTGTTCGACCTGAAGACATGGGTGAAGTAGAGCAAACCGAGACATTGGCAGCCCGACTAGAAGAAAAGGAGGTGGTAAATGCGTATAACGTCATGTTGGGACCCCCAGCTGATAAAAAAATGGCACAGGTAGCTCAACTTGGTACGTCAGGGCGCTGCTACATCTTACTTTGTGCGAACTGGCAATTTTGAAATGAAGTTTTACGTTTGTAGAGAGATCAAACGTTTTTGACGAACTAATGCGAGGCTCAAAAACCGCTGCAGTTTTGAATGCCCGAAAGCGTCTTAATCCATTTAAGTTCAAACGAAAAACTAGCCAAAGACGACGTCTTTTGTATCCCGACTTCAAGTGCATCAAGGGTACAAACCCGCCATTCATAGTGGACGGTTTCAATTATGCGTGTCCGGAAAACTCAAGCATTTACTTTTTGACGCACTTTCATTCGGACCATTACACTGGTATTACCAAGGTGAGTATAATATATATAACATCTTTTAAACAGTGCTACGCTCATTTGTTGTCTTCACTTACCTTTAGGACTTTGATTGCGGCATCATTTATTGCACCGAAGTTACAGCAAAACTCATCGTACAAGAGTTAGGTGTTGAAAGTAAATATGTCCATCCAGTTAGACTAAATACCACCGTATTTGTTGCTGATGTGCAAGTTACATTCATGGACGCCAATCATTGCCCTGGTGCGGCAATTATTTTGTTTTGTCTGAAAGAAGGTAAAACCTATTTGCACACTGGCGATTTTCGATTTCACAAGAAAATGCTTGACTATTCTCCGCTTCAACCCTTCATTCCGACCGGAAAAGAAATTATTGATAACAATGGCAAAGTTGTTGGACTCAGGCGTCTAGACGGTGTTTATCTCGACACTACCTACTGCAATCCAAAATATACGTTTCCAACCCAGCATGTTGCAATTAACCACGCTTTTGAGATTATGGACAAGCATTTCAAGCAAGAAAAGGTGCTTTTTCTTTTTGGATCGTACACAATCGGTAAAGAGCGCTTGTTTATGGAAATTGCGCGCAAGTATCAGAAAAAGGTGTGCGTATCGAAAGCAAAGCTTAAAGTTATCAAAACGTTTGGCTGGCCAGCAGAATCCATGCAGCTCCTGACGACGGAAACTGCAGTAACCAAGTGCGAGGATTTTACTTTTAGCTTTCGTTTGGTTTTCCCTGACTAATTGTCGCTATGCTAGCTTACATGTTGTTCGTATGCAGGATCTTCACATGGACAACCTAACAGTGCTACTCGCAAAGCATCACATGCGATTCCACCGGATTGTAGCCTTTCGTCCAACAGGCTGGACATTTAGTAGCAAAAACCCTCGGTCAATGTCGTCTTGTTGCCTTAACCCTTCCGGCAAGATTTGCGTTTATGGCATCCCATACAGCGAGCATTCAAGTTTTTCGGAGCTCAGCGACTTTGTCAAAGTCATTAATCCGATCTCTATCTTTCCTACGGTATGTGAGAAGTCCATTAAGATGACCCTTTGTCATGGATGACATGTTTATATTTGTCAAATACTGGTATTAGGTGAACTGTAGTAGCAAGCGGAAGGCGACAAATCAAGTCAACACATTGCGTCAGATTGCATTTCACAATATATCGGTGCTGTTTAAAGAACAAAGGCAAATTAAGAAGCAGCTCAATGGACAGAAGCAATGGGATAACCAGCATCAGTTTACAGAAAAGCTGGATGCACATACTGATGGCAAATGTAGTCATCAAATTAAGTGTCTCGATTTTCGAGAGTAGCATAAAAAGATGACATAATTGCAATTTACCAAAATTTGTTTTTACAAGGCTAATCCATTCGCACCATG